TTCGGACGTCTCGTTGCCTGTTGATCGCGATAGATCACTGGCCGGACGAGCAAGAGTATCTAAATAAGTTGTAAAAAGTGAAAAGAGCAGACGTTTATTTTTTGCAGAAGGTTTTTAAGGCTGTCGTTGGTCGTTCGATGTCGTCAAATTTCCGTGAAGATTGCAAGAATCGTTCGCACAACACGAAACTCGACTCGTAACTTGCTCGGATAACAGGACATCCTAAGATAACGGGGGGTACGAAAATTTTACAAATTGAACGTCGCCGGAGAACTTGGCGCTTCGAGCAACGAGAAAGTTCCTAAAGACGTTACACAGACGATTTACAGGAGAGACATTGCTGGATATTCTCGAATGAGATCTCGAGTGAAACTGCTCCGCCGAGTTCTTGGCCCGAATGTGAATTGGAAGTTGAGGTTCTATGTTATTTGTTTATGTTGCAGCGTTGTTTGCATTTCCTGTGTCTCTAAACGAGACTAGTTTCTGAAAATAAGATAAGAAAACTTCGCGTCTCTTTCACATTTAATCACATTAAATATATAGTTTATTTGAAGCATTATATTTTCAATATTATACTCTATATAAGCTATTTAAATTTATAATAAATAAATATATATATAAATTTAAATAGCTATATATATATTTAATAAATTATATTAATTTAAATATTTAATAAATATATAATATAAATTATATAAAATATATTTAATAATTATATAATATATTACATTTGATAAATTATATAAAATAAAATATATAAAATATATTTAATAATTATATAATATATTACATTTGATAAATTATATAATATAAAATATATAAAATATATTTAATAATTATATAATATATCACATTTAATAAATTTTATAATATAAAATATATAAAATATATTTAATAATTATATAATATATTATATTTAATAAATTAATATAATATAAAAATTATTATTGAACATAAATATATTAATATAATAATTATATATAACAATATTTTTGTTAAATAAGAATTTTAAATCAAATATATTAAATAAAGTTGAAACATTAGGAAATAAAACTTCGTAGAAACTTTTTTCAATAAATTATCCCATATTTATTTAAAAGTTTATTAAAGTAATAAATTATAAATTGATTATCGGAATATATTTCTTGGGAGAAATGAAAATATTCTCACGTTTTCTAAGAAGAGGGAAAAAATTTTTCCAAGGCTCTGGAGGATAAAGACATTTGATAGCGATTGTTTAAAAATGAAATCTGTCTTCCAATTTATCGAGATCCGTTTTATAAATCTGTTTCACGTATCACGCGTTCTCCCTCTTCGAAGAAGCCTGTACTTTGAACAGCCTTTTCACTCCGAGCAAAACACCGTCTTTTGTCTTGCTCGGGAGACTATTTTCAACTCGTGACTCGGGAGCCGGTGATTTATGGTCAGCCTGGCAGGTTGTACCTTGTCCAGAAGTTGTTTTATCTTCCCGCTTCAAAGCTCTTCCACTAGAACACTCTTCGACTCGATGCTTTCTCCCACCGCCCGAGCGAATAAATCAAATTTTTCTTTTTTTTTTTCTGTTTTTTTTCTCCTCCTCCGGTTGCTATCGACACTCGAAGCAGTCGAATTAAAAACAGACAAGTAGACAAACCTCTCCGACGGAATTTATCGTCGATATTTTTCACAATGTTTCGAGATTCTGCCACGAATATTTGAAAAAAAAAAAAAAAAGAAAAGAGAGGAAAGAGGAAATTTGAATTGCAAATCTCACCAGAGGAGAGAATGATCGTTCTCGCTGGTAAAACACATTTCCAACGAGCTTTCTTGGCTGAGGGTGTTTGAGGAAATTCGAGGCTCGTGAATTTTTTACGAGCCTCGCATTATGATGGAAAGCAGCGCTATACAAAAATTAACTGGTTTGGCCTCGTCAATTGTGACACTCATTCGAGTACGTCGTACGATACATATCGAATTAGGTATGGATTATTATTGTTTCTTGGACCATTTGTTAACAAATGTAAACAAAAAATTAGACAGAAGAATATCGGGTGTTTTTTCATACGAATTACGATATCATGTCATATGAAATCAGTAGATGATTAAATAAAAAAGAAAAATACGCAGAACAGTTGACATAAATAAATAAGGTCAACTAGGATAAATAATTTAATATTTAAATTATCATAGAAATATTATAATTTTTAGAATATTATTTTTTCATAAGTTTTAAATACAATATTTTTAAGAATATAGTTTTTATTATTTAATTATGAAGTAATTTTAGAATGGAGCATTGTTAGATTAAATTCTTAGAATAAAAATAAACATACTTTTCAATTATAGATTATAGAATCTTATTATTCATTTATTTGGTGATATTTGTTTCTTCAATAATTTTTATTTATAGAATTAGGTATATGAATTTAAATAATTATATATATTAAATTATTATATCTATATTAATTATTATATTAATACATTAAATTATTATATATATATATTAATTATATATATTAAATATCAGGTATATGAATTTAAATAATTATATATATTAAATTATTAAAAGATAAAGTAAGTAAATCGATAATAATTGGCAAAAGTCACGCCAAAAAATAAATAAACAAATAACAACCTAACCTAACTTAAACCTAACTTAACCTAAATTTCGAGGACCAGAGATTCCAGAGGGGGCGCAGCTGGGAAATTGCATCGTTTGTGTTTGTGCGTATTCATAAATTCGGAAAGTTTTTTCGGACGCTTTCACAATCCGGGCGAGTTTCGAAAGTTCCGACGACCTTCCAAAGGCAGTGGGAACTTCCCCGACTTTCGAAAGCCCCCAAGGTCGCATAAATCAAGTGCTTTCTCATTCGTTTCCCGCGAGGATATTGCGTAGTGACACCCTCGCGTCACTCCCGCTGAGTTATTAACGCGGCCTGGTAAATTATAAATTCGTAAGATTAACAGAGGCTTTCTCTCTCTCTCTCTCTCTCTCTCTCTCTTTCTCGTACCATTGTCAGTCAGCTGTTATGGTCCTCTCCCTCTCGCCTTTGTTCAACGTTCAATGGACGCGCCGATGTGAGATTAAATTCCTTCGCCCTCCCCCCACCCGTCGGGATTCTCATTTGAGACGATCCTCGCTCCCAAAATTCGTCGGCCCGCCGGTGAATTAACAATTCCACCCGGCGGGAGTCTAAACATTGTTAAGAAGAATATCTCGCCTTGTCACTCCTCGTAAATTCACCGGGACGAAAAATTCCAACGTTTTATACGTAGATGCTATTGTAGGTAGTTTTTCTTTAACCCTTTGACTACCGTTAGCGCCTAAAGTTGGGGGAAAAAAAAAGTATTCTTAACAGTTATTGGGAATAATTTAAAAATATTTAAATTATTTGTACGAAAGGACTAATTTATAATCAATAAATATTCATATAAATTGTTTCAGCAGATTAGTGTTCTAAATTTGGAATTTAAATTAGATCATTAGAAAATATGATAAATGATAATTTTAATCTCTTTAATTTATTAATATTAACTTTATTTATAATGCTGGCTTAAATAACATAATATAATACAATATTGGTTTAATATTTTTATAACAATGTAATGTAATATTGGTTTAATATTGGTATAACAGTATAATATAGTATTGGTTCAATATTGGTATAATAATGTAATATATTGGTTTAATATTGGTATAACAATGTAAAATAATATTGGTTTAATATTGGTACAACAATATAATATTGGTTTAATATTGGTATAACATTATAATATAATAATGGTTTAATATTGGTATAATAATATAATATAGTATTGGTTTAATATTGGTATAATAATATAATATAGTATTGGTTTAATATTGGTATAATAATATAATACAGTATTGGTTCAATATTGGTATAACAATATAATACAGTATTGGTTCAATATTGGTATAATAATATAATATAGTATTGGTTCAATATTGATATAACAATGTAATATAATATTGATTTAATATTGGTATAACAATATAATATAATATTGGTTTAATATTTGTATAACAATATAACATAATATTGGTTTAATATTAGTGTAACAATATAATATAATAATGGTTTAACATTGGTATAACAACATAATATAGTATTGGTTGAATATTGGTATAAGAATATAATACAGTATTGGTTTAATATTGGTATAACAATATAATACAATATTGGTTCAATATTGGTATAACAATATAATACAGTATTGGTTCAATATTGGTATAATAATATAATAAAGTATTGGTTCAATATTGGTATAACAATGTAATATTGATTTAATATTGGTATAACAATATAATATAATATTGGTTTAATATTGGTATAACAATATAATATAACATTGGTTCAATATTGGTATAACAACATAATATAGTATTGGTTCAATATTGGTATAACAATATAATACAGTATTGGTATAATAATATAATACAGTATTGGTTCAATATTGGTATAACAATGTAATATTGATTTAATATTGGTATAACAATATAATATAATATTGGTTTAATATTGATATAACAATGTAATATAATATTGGTTTAAATAAAGTTTATTTATATTAACTTTATTTATAATATTATATATAATATAAGGATAATTCCAGTTATTAGAAAAACAAAACTTTTTTTTCGATACGATTCACGTTAGGCAAAACATATCCTCTGCATCGTCAAGATATTTCACTGAAACGAACCACTCTCTGTGTGAGACTATTTTTCTACATGCTCTTTTTCATCTTTATATTCCCAAGTTACCTTCGTTCAACTTAGTTTAATTAATCTCACTTGATTCGCGCGTGCCAAGAGGTTAAGAAAATTCGTTTTCTCCAAAGTAATTCGTCGATTCGACGTGGTTCACGCGAGTGGCGCGGAGGCTCCGCATTATTTCCGCTCAACCATCTTCCCCAATGCAGGCTCCGAAGGAGGCTCCCGTGGACAGAGCTGAGGAAACGAAAAAAACAACATTTTTGTGTGTGTGTGTCTTTTGCAGGTCGGCCAGGACCTTGCCATGAGATGTCGTTGCAGAACCCCAGACTTCGACATTACAGGTCGAACCGTCAGACCAGAACCAAATACAGATTTGTTCCCGTTCTCGAGAATCTTCTTTCTTTTTTTGATTGGTTTTATAATTATACGCTGATCGATACGAGGACAGACACGCGGCTACACTTTTTTTATCTTTCTCTCTCTCTCTCTCTCTTTCTCTGTCAATATTTTATTTATAGTATTTCGTGCACAGAGTGTGGTGCAGGCAGAGCGATTTCTTCGGGTTCGCAATGAAGATGGAAAGTGTGTGTGTTTTTCTTTTTTTTATTTATTTCTTTCAGCAATGATAAAGTAAAGTTCCTGCTCGGAACAGGTATTCAAGAAAGCGGCAGCCTCCGGATGAGAAAGTTTACAAAGCGGTTTAAAGTATATCCAATTTGTACGATGGTACACCTTGCTTTCTAAATGCGAAATAACTTAGCTGCTTAGAGTCCTCGCTTCAAGTTGAAAGAGAACAATGGCGGAACGCTCGAGAACTCTAGAAAAATCTCAACTTTGTCTCGGTCGCTTCGCTCACCCCCGTTCTATGGAAGATTCTTCCGATTTCATTGGACACGACTAAGAGCCAGTTTGAAGGAACACTGAGTCTCCTTCCTCGGACAGTTTAAATATCCATTTAAAACGCACTCGCGAAACAAAAACAACAAAATTGTTTATCAAAACGTGCTTTGCATATTGATCTCTATGATGATTGGTCAATCATAAATTTTAACTTCGCAATTTTGTCTTATCTTGCATGTACTGTTAAATTATTTCTCTTTCGACAACTATTCGAAATTGAAATAGTTTCGCAATCTGTCGACTAATTAGTCATAAATTGTAATTTTTCAATTTTGTTTCATTTCATCTGCACGCTGTTGCATTGAGTGAAAGATTCGTGAAAAGAGAAATTTTAATTCGTAGAAATTCACACGTAATACTGGAAGAAAATCCATTAATTATGTTTCTAAATAAAATAATAAAAAATTGACAAAACATGTGTTTGTAAAAGTTGTTTTTGTTTCAATTCATTCAGTCTTTCAGTGGCCACTCTATATTAAATATAATATAATATAAAATATTGTATAATATATATATATATACTATATTTTAATAATTATATTTATATTTTATAATATAAATAATAAATATAATAAATATAATATAATATAAAATATAGTATAATATATATACTATATTTTAATAATAATTATATTTATATTTTATATTATAATAATATATAACAAGATAATTATATTATATTTATATTTTAAATGTAGTATAGTATATATTATACTATATACTAATACATTGCTATATTATATTATATTATATTACTATTACTATATTATACTAATATATAGTATAATATATATTATTATAACATAATAATTATATTATATTTATATTTTAAATGTAATATAATATAAAATACAGCATAATAATTTCTCGATTAATCGTAAATTGTAAATTTCTCATAAATTATAATCCCACAACTTTGTCTTATCTGTACTTACCTATCACTAAATATTTTTCATTTTAATAACTATTCATTTAATAACTATTCAGTTTAATAACTATTCGAAATTACTAAAATTCTTTTGTGATCAATTAATCAGTCATAAATTCTAATTCCACAATTTTGTCTTATTCTATCTGCACCATTGAGTATTTCAAAATTACGAAAATTTTTTTCGTACAGTAACCTCTCGATTAATCGATCGATAAACATTTAATCAATTGTAAACTTCTCCATTATGTCTAATCTCATCTCTCATCACCATCGAGAATATTTCTTACGATCTCATTTTTGTTTCTTTTTTCTTTTCAAAAACATATCCGTTTTCCATTTGCCGTGCCGGGAGAAGTCGCTCTTTATCTGCGTGAAAAACATGTTCCACAGCCTGTGCACGAGCCAGATACACAAGTACACGTGTGCATAACACCGTGTCCACGATATATACATATATATATATATATATCTCTTTTCCGCTGCATCCACGCTTTTTGGGAATGACGCTGGCCGTGCGAATGCCAGCCCTGTAGCCACACATCTGCATCACTATGCCTCCACATTGTTGCTCCATTTAGCGGCCCAGTATTTCCTTAAAAAAAAAAAAAAAAAAAGAAAGGAGCGACGACATCTACTTTAGATCGCTTTTCGTACCTACTCTGGATTCTTTGTCTGCTTTGCGTATTTTTTCCGTGTTCATGTTCCGTGCGAGTTGTGTGAAAAGTAGAAGTATCGTTCGTCACTACGATCTTAGCAGAGAGTCGATGGAACGCGATGGAGATTAACGTTTCAACGGGCATCGGAAACTTTAATTTGGATTTTCCAACTTTTAGCAGCTTTCAAGAATTTGCTGGAACTTTGAAGTTTCGAAAGAAATTTGTAAAAAAAAAAAAAAAAACATTATGACTTCATCGACTCGCTGCGAGAAGTTCCAAGTAGCAAGTAGTATAATAGTTTCGCCCGGGAAAGTGAACTCTCGATTGGCGCTTCGTTCCTCTCTCTCTCTCTCTCTCTTTCTTTCTTTCTTTCTCTCTTTCTCTCGTTTGCGATTCTCCTTCTCCTTGGTGAGGCCAAGCATGTGTCTACGTTCCAGTTACAGTCTTTTCACTTACTACCTGGTATCAGGTAGATCCACGTAGAAGAGGAAGTAGCGAAGGAATACCGCGACCTTCGATCGAGTGTCGCTTCACGAGCGCTCTGTTGGCATGGCCTTGGACATCACCTAACGTATTATTAACATTCTGTCGTTGAGAACTCAGTTTAATTGCACCCCGTTGATTCGCAAATTCAGTTAATTAATTCTCCGCCAGCCAGCGGCAATCAAATCGGCTGATCGTCCCACTGGCTTTCGATTTCAGGACAATGACGGCGATCTGCTTCGTGTGCAATTTGCCGATCCTCAGCCACCAGGTTGGCCTGGTGTGGCAAGGGGGCAACGGCTGGGACGATCTCGTGCGGGAACAAGTGGAGGAATCCACTTTGAGGCAACGTCTCGGTGAGTACTCTTCAGCTCGATGTTTTTACACAGACTGTTGACCGGTTTGCGAGTCAACTCTAACAAGTGTTGGTTATTTTTGATTAATGTCAGGGTATCAATTAATATTTAATATTTAATAATATAAATAATTATATATTTAATGATAGAACATAAATAATATAATAATATAAATGTTAATATTTAGTATACTGTAATTATTAAAATATATTGATTGATTGTATATTAATTATATTGTAATTTAATTACAATATTTAATATTGATAATTTTATAATTTAATTACAATATTTAATATTGATAATTTTATAATTTAATTACAATATTTAACATTGATAATTTTATAATTTGTTTAGAATATTTAACATCGATAATTTTATAATTTAATTACAATATTTAATATTGATAATTTTATAATTTACATAGAATATTTAATATTGATAATTTTATAATTTAAGTACAATATTTAATATTGATAATTTTGTAATTTATTTACAATATTTAACATCGATAATTTTATAATTTAATTACAATATTTAATATTGATAATTTTAAAATTTAACTACAGTATTTAAAATTGATAATTTTATAATTTAACTACAATATTTAACATTGATAATTTTAGAATTTAATTACAATATTTAACATTGATAATTTTATAATTTAAGTACAATATTTAATATTGATAATTTTATAATTTAACTACAATATTTAATATTAATATTAATATTAATATTAATTTATTATTTTATTTAATATTAATATTAAATAAAATTTGTTTAGAATATTTAACATCGATAATTTTATAATATACTTAGAATATTTAATATTGATAATTTTATAATTTAAGTACAATATTTAATATTGATAATTTTATAATTTAATTACAATATTTAATATTGGTAATTTTATAATTTAATTACAATATTTAATATTGATAATTTTATAATTTAAGTACAATATTTAATATTGATAATTTTATAATTTAATTACAATATTTAACATTGATAATTTTATAATTTGTTTAGAATATTTAACATCGATAATTTTATAATTTAATTACAATATTTAATATTGATAATTTTATAATTTACATAGAATATTTAATATTGATAATTTTATAATTTAAGTACAATATTTAATATTGATAATTTTGTAATTTATTTACAATATTTAACATCGATAATTTTATAATTTAATTACAATATTTAATATTGATAATTTTTAAATTTAACTACAGTATTTAACATTGATAATTTTATAATTTAACTACAATATTTAACATTGATAATTTTAGAATTTATCAACAATATTTAACATTGATAATTTTATAATTTAATTACAATATTTAACATTGATAATTTTATAATTTAATTACAATATTTAATATTGATAATTTTATAGTTTAGGTAAAATATTTAATATTGATAATTTTATAATTTAACTACAATATTTAACATTGATAATTTAACTACAATATTGATAATTTTATAATTTAACTATAATATTTAATATTAATAATTTCATAATTTATAATATTTAATGTAATTAATATATATTAATAATTAATTTATATATAAAAATGAAAAATATATATATACTAATAACGATTTAAATATAAAAATAAAATCAAAGATTCATCATGAAAAATATATTTTCTGGTGCTGTCTAGGAACCGGTAGGCGAGACTCTGCGACGCAGATCACGTCGATATCGCCGCCCAACGAGCCGCAGGAGACCTCCACGGCGAACCAGACACGCCGACGGTCCAGCTTGACCAGGTTGACGGACATTCTGCGAGAGTGGAGCGGCGGTGGCTCGTCCGCGAAGAGCGAACGCGGAAACAAGCTGTACCGTCGCGAGACGTTGGCCGACATCGCCAAGTCGTTGCCATGGTCCAGGCAGACGACCACCGATGCCAGCCACTTGGAGAGGTTGCGCAAGAGGCGCGAGAGCTCGGTGGACAGCGGGATCAGGAGCCAGGCGTCGACGAAGTCCAGGAAGGACTCGACCATCAGCGAGCTGAAGAACGACATCGCCAGGCTATGGGGCAAGAAGGAGACACCGCAGCCTCAACCGCCTCCCACCGTCATCTCGCCCACTTATCGAGGTTAGGGGACATTCCCACCAATTTGGAATTTCAATTTCTGCAAAGGGGGAACGTTCAGAAAGCTGACCGATGCGATTGCTACGACGTACAGAGTCTAAAATTGCAGTTGAGGAAACTCAATTGATAACGCGTCGTATGATAGCATTGATGCTACTTTACTCTACTTGACAAAAATATTGCAACGCTGCCTTTGATCAACCACTCGCGCTGGCAAGTGATTGCGGACCATAACGAGTGACCGTGACCGTATACATATAATTCGTCGCTTTCTTTTCGAACTGGTCGATATAATATCACTTGATAGAAATCATTGAGAAGTAACAAATTTATTATTATGTTTCTGCGATTTTGCTTTACTTGAATATACTTAAAACTGAGAAAATATTGCAATTTTGGAGGTGAACCACTTGCGCTGGCAACTGATTGCGGACCATAACGAGTGACCGAATTGTATACAATATATTGTCGCCTTTTTTGTCGAACTCGTCGATATGATATCACTGGGTAGAAATTATTGAGAAGTAACAAATTTACTATTTGTTTCTCTGATTTTGTTTTACTTAAATATAATTAAAACTGAGAAAATATTACAATTTTGGAGGTTTAAGCACTTGCGCTGGCAAGTGATTGCGGACCATAACGAGTGACCGTGACCGTATACATATAATTCGTCGCTTTCTTTTCGAACTGGTCGATATGATATCACTTGATAGAAATTATTGAGAAGTAACAAATTTATTATTTATTTTGCCTATTTTGTTTTACTTAAATGTACTTAAAACTGAGAAAATATTACAATTTTGGAGGTTAACTCTTTGCGGACCGTAACGAGTGACCGTAACCATATACATATAATTCGTCGCTTTCTTTTTGAATTTGTCGATATAATATCACTTGATAGAAATTATTGAGAAGTAACAAATTTATTATTTGTTTCTCTGATTTTGCTTTACTTGAATATACTTAAAACTGAGAAAATATTACAATTTTGGAGGTTAAGCCCTTGCGTTGGCAAGTGATTGCGGACCATAACGAGTGACCGTGACCGTATACATATAATTCGTCGCTTTCTTTTTGAACTTGTCGATATAATATCACTTGATAGAAATTATTGAGAAGTAACAAATTTATTATTTGTTTTGCCTATTTTGTTTTACTTAAATATACTTAAAACTGAGGAAATATTACAATTTTGGAGGTTAACTCTTTGCGGACCGTAACGAGTGACCGTAACCGTATACGTATAATTCGTCGCTTTCTTTTTGAACTCGTCGGTATGATATCAATTGATAGAAATTATTGAGAAGTAACAAATTTATTATTTGCCTTGCCGACTTTGTTTTATTTAAATATATTTGAAACTGAGAAAATATTTCAATTTTGGAAATTCAGCGCAAGAGGTTGAAGTTCTTATGACTGTTTGAAGAATATCGTTAACATTTGACAAATAAAATACCAGGTGTGTAAAATATAGTCAGTTCGCGCGCGTTAACATCTTCAGGGACGAATTTTTCAAATTACCAGAAAGATTGTTTAATTATAAAAAAAAATTAACTAATATTACAAGTCGCGTTTCGATATCAACACGATCATTAAAACTATATTTTACACACCTGTGTATTTTATTTGTCAAATGATAACCATATTCTAAACAATCGAAAGAACTTTAATCAAAGGCAAATTTAAAATTGCAATCTTTGAAAAGCAGATTGATTGTCAAGTAGAATCAAATATTATCAGTGGTGTCGTACGACGAGTTCTTCGTTTTTTATTATACAGTTCTCCAACAGATTTAATATGTTTCTTCACTTGGAATAATTTCAATTGAAAAGAAAAGACTACACGTGCGTTTCCTCGATGAAGTTGATTGAAACGTGTGCATATTACGATTACATAATCTGGCAGAAAAACAGGCGAGAAAGTTGATCGAAACCAAAGACAGGGTAATATCTAACAAGGAGCCAATTCCCTTATCCATTTGTACGGACGAGCGGGTCTCGAAATGTTGGATGCAGGCTGGAGCGAGTCGAGAGGCTCCCGGCGTGGCTCCGGCGAGAGCGGAAGGACCAAGAGCCAAAGCGAGCGGAAGCACACGTGCAGTCATCACAGGCGCAGACAGTCGCAGCAATCGATGGACAGCGGCAGCGGCGTGATGCCCATGAAATATTACAGGAGCGATCAAAGACCGAGCGCGTCCAGCACCGACAGCGCGGCCAGCAACGCTGTCAGGTACACAACGTGCCAGTTTCAACAATCGGATCTCTCGGAGGACAATTTCTGGGGGAGAGAATTTAATTAACTCGTTGTTGAACCCGAAACTGGGAATATGAATCATTGATCATTCGAGGTGCAAATTATTTCGGAAGTAATTATATTATTATTACTTAATTTTATTATATATATTATTATTATTTTAATTATTATTTAATTTTGTTATATATATTATATATATTGTATATTATTGTTTATTTATTTATTTAATATTATTTTAATTATTATTTAATTTTGTTATATATATATTATATGTATTGTATATTATTTATTTATTTATTTATTTATTATTTTAATTATTATGTAATTTTATTATACATATTTTATATTATTGTTTATTTATTATTATTGTTATTATTTTAATTGTTTGTAATTTTATTATATATACTGTAGATTATTATTTATTTATTTATTATATATAAATATATATATTGTATATTATTGTTAATTTATTATTTTAATTTTTATTTAATTTTGGAATATATATTGTATATTATTATATATTTATTTATTTATTATTTTAATTATTATGCAGTTTTATTATATATATTGTTATATTATATATTTATATATTATTATTATTTCAATTATTATGTAATTTTATTATGTATATTGTATGTTATATATTTATATATTACTATTTATTATTATTATTGTTATTTTAATTATTATGTAATTTTATTATTCATATTGTATATTATGTATTTATATATTATCATTTATTAATTATTATTATCGTTGTTTCAATTATTTCGCAAGAATTTCTCTCTCCTCGAAGAAGTTGAATTCCTGGGACTACGGAGTTTTTTCGTATTAAGAATTGTTAGATATTTTTCTCTTTTTCTTTTTTTCTGAAACACAGGGAACACCTGGAGACGCGCAACTCCATGGACAAAAGCGAGCGATCGAGCAGCATCGAGGGCAAGATACCAGTGACAACGAGCACCGAGTCGAAAACGTCGACGACCACAACGACGGTCCTGTCGACGACCAGCATGATAACGACCACGTCGACCTCGCTGACCGCCTCGATCGTGGAGTCGAAAGCCGAGAGCAAGAACCTGACCCTGGAATCGTCCATCACACCACCTACAATCGTGATGTCGTCGGTAACACCGCCGAGCGTGTCACCGACGGTTGGTAGCAACCTCCCACTACCCGGGACCTCGACTTCCGGTAGCTCCAGCCCGGTCAGCACGCCAACGCATCCCATGCTTACCACCAGACGGGACTCCACCACTCAGGTGAGCTGTGTTTCGCGAGCTATAAGTATATCAGAAATATAAATTTGGAGAAAAGATATTCAGGGATATGTTTAGAAACTTGGGAGGAAAGAAATTTTGGTAACTTAAATCAGGATTGATTGCAGCGGGAACGGAGGAGTTGGTTGTGTTTCTGCAGAGAAACGGAAGAGACATATTTCAAGAGACACGTAACTGTGGCCGTCCGAGCTAAATAAATTTTGTAAATTTCGGTGATTATGCAGGGTGGTTCATTTAACTAACGAAGGAATGACCTTGGGAAACAAATAATCCAAGTATAATATATACTATATATAGTGCAATATAATATAATATAAGACTATATATAGTATATACTATAAGCATAATATAGTAAAACTATATATAGTACATGCTACAAGTATAATATATGTGGTATATACTATAAGTATATATAGTTATATAATAATATAGAGCAGACTACAATAATATATATGTAGTAATATATACAGTTATAATTATATAACAGTAGACTATTATATAATTATAGCACAATAGATTATATAGTATAATTAATATATACAATAATATTTAATTAATAAAATACAGTAATAATTAATAAATACAGTTAATACATACAATAATATTCAATATATACAGTTATAATTATATAAAAGTAGACTATTATATAATTATATTACAATAGATTATATAGTATAATTAATATATACAGTGATATTTAATTAATAAAATACAGTAATAATTAATAAATACAGTTAATACATACAATAATATTCAATATATACAGTTATAATTATATAATAGTAGACTATTATATAATTATATTACAATAGATTATATAGTATAATTAATATATA